CACTATACAGTAAATATCACCACTATACAGTAAATATCACCACTGTATGGTAGATGTAGTGTTACCGGCCTGTATAACATACATAAACACAATGTGTTTAGTGTTAGTAGTATTTGAGGTATTACACTGTAACATTACAATGTGAAGGGTTGCCTTGTTGTGATAACTAAACCCTGTAAATAGCATGATGTACTGTGAAATCAGATATTTTCATTCGTCCATAACTTTGTGGTTCCCTACAAAATGCCATTTTGTGGGTACATGGGTTCATGGGTTATGAGTACCCAATCAAATGGAGAAATGCTTTATATCAAACATGTAATTACTTCATAGACCTATGAATCTCGTGGATGAAGATTACCCACAAAATCAACAAAATTGAAAACCTCACGAAAATAAGTGATTTCGCAGTACGCCATATGTTAAATGTCTAAACAAATGTGTATGTTTGTTACAAGTGTATGAAAGGTGAATCTTCAGTGAATGAAGACAAATTAGTTTTTATTTGTCTTAAAATTTTGATATTTTATTGATTTTTAAATCATTTAAGTAGTGAAAATTATTTATTAATTTTATTTGTGATATTATTTCGATCATATCTGTATAAATGCTAAAGTGTAAGGTTGATGTGAAAGGGCAATAACTCCGTCATAACACATGCTCAGGAATATCCCAACATAGTTAAGAAAACATTAAGAATTCATTATTTCCTAATTTTGAAATAATCATCCATTCACAATACATATTTATAAAAAATGTTTTCCCTGTCGGAGTCATTTATATATCTTTATTAATATGAAAAAAATAACATTTTAAAAGAAAATTTCCATGAATGCTGATTGAATCAATGCAGGAAAATCTTTTTAGCTTTAAAAGATGCTGATGTATTTCAAAATTGTGTCCTAGCTTTTCATTAAATGAGGTTAATATCTTTACATGGGAAACAAAAATGACCTTACTTAAGTATGTTGAAATCTATTGTTTTGATGATATTAAAATATTTTGTATTAAGTTAACTAAAGGTACTTAAAAATCAATTGAAAGACATAGTTTGGATGATATTAGAATATTTTGTATTCCAAACTAAGGGTTCTAAGAATAGACTCTTATCTGGCTTACTAGTTAGTACTTGTACTACAGTAACAATTGACTTGTANCTTGACGTGTAGAATCACATGTTTTCATGTTAACTTGATTTGAACATAAAAATGCTATTAACTGTACACACTCGCCTGCAAATTAATTTTCATATTTATGTGAAAGATTTGAAAAAGTCTTTATTTTGTGAAATTGAGATGGGGAAAATGTGTTACAGTAGAGCATAGTTAACTGAAACTCAGACAAGCTCTTATTTGTCCCTTTAATGGAAATTTAATACAATCTCAAATTCAGATGAGCTAGATGAGTCATTGTCGTCTTTACTCCATTTATATAAATCCTAATTATATGACCTTAGTTGATTCAAAGGATTTAAACCTAAACCAAACTAAAATGTTATGTACCCCAGCGTACTGAAACATCTCAGGAGTAGAATATCTCTGCTCACGAGTCATATTTTTTACTCAAATGAGTCATTAACCCTCCCCAACTCAAAGTCATATTAGTTGAAAACCCTCCTTATTCACAATATACTTAACCTTTTTTACCTCTATGTAACTTAAGTAAACTCTACCATGCATTGATCTGGATGAGTCCATTATAGTCTACAGTGGTGAAAGGGTTAAATTAAATAAGTAATAAGTTGTGTTATCCTAATTGGTATCGTTATTAAACTAAACACCTGATGTGGTGAAGTTAAGCTAGTTTTACTTTCGGTGATAATTTTCATGAAATAGATATCTTGGAAGTGATTCTCATTTATTGATATTTAATTTAACTATACAAAGTACTCATTTCATAGCGGGTTTTGAAGTGATGTCATGAAAACCTGCGCTTTACAAGTCACTGTCAATAGGACAGCGGGTAGTCCTCGGGATTGAGTATCTCACAACTAACTGTTACTAAATCTGTTTCATCAGTGTGTGTCCTATATGAATATATGTTTTACTGTAATACAACGAAAAGTCCAGAGGAACTTTCTCATAACTTAACATTTCCTTGATAAGACTTGTGGCTGAACGCAGGGCAATGTCAGTTCATGCTTTGCAAGTTTTTAAGTTGATTTTTTAATTATTCTATCATTCTGTTGAATTTTTTCTCTGAATATTTTCTGTGTCAATAAATTTTGCTGCATGTTAATATTTGTACAATATTTATTGATGTGATCTGTTTCGTAATTTTTCAATAATATGAGTTAAATGTGTTTCATTTTACCATGACTCAATTTTTAACAAATGGTGAAGTTTGTGATTTTTTTATCTATCATGAGGGGTTTACCGAGGAACTATTGACTAGTGATTTTGTTTGCGTGTCGGTCAGGATACATTACACATTGGTCTAAGGTGAAGGGTTAGATTTCAGTAATTCCTGAGTCATTAAGCTTATTTTTTTTCTCGAGTTAAATCTTTCAGTTTCCAAGGTTCGGAAGCATTTTATTAGTAATTAAACAGTTGTGTTTAAAGTAAAGACTATTGGTTGTCGGTATCACGGTTTTTGCTATTTTGGGAAAGGGCCCTTGAGCAGGAATTGGGAAAATATCATCAGCATTTGGCAAAAATTGTATTTTAGATGCTCCTTCATGGATGGTAATACTTTGAACATTGCGCCTTTTTTCGACTGGAATCCAATTTTGAAAATAAACACAGATATTAAGAAAATGTCATTTTCCAATTGGGAATGGGTCCCCGTACCAGACCCTATAAACACCAGGCAAAAACCCTGGGTATGGTCACTTGTTTTTGAAAGGCAGCCTTCTGCCACCAAATCATTTTGTTGTTTTGACCTCGCCAGAATCTTCTCTTTGGGTGAAGGGCCGTAGAGTTGTCAGTCATTTTCAATTTCCACCCGCTTCGCGATTTGTTGTTTTCAGCCGAGTTTCATTGTAATATTGGGGAGATCAGTTGTTTACATTGTATCTCAAGTTGTTTGTTTATACCACCATTATAAGTCAGTGTACATGTTTTTATACAATACACATTTACTGTGTAATCCACATCAGGGTCACTGACCTTGACTGTATCAACATCAGGGTAACTGACCTTGACTGTATCAACATCAGGGTCACTGACCTTGACTGTATCGACATCAGGGTCACTGACCTTGACTTTATCAACATCAGGGTCACAGACCTTGACTGTATCAACATCAGGGTCACTAACCTTGACTGTATCAACGTCAGGGTCACTGACCTTGACTGTATCAACATCAGGGTCACTGACCTTGACTGTATCAACATCAGGGTCACTGACCTTGACTGTATCGACATCAGGGTCACTGACCTTTACCTTTGATGCACATTAACTGTTAATCATGGTAATGGTATGATATTATATGTATTAATATACATGTATATGTATGAGGTGCGATTATATTTACAAAATAATCTTGTTATGTTTTGAAGTGACGGTTATTCATGCATGCACTGGTTTAAACAAGTCTGTCCAGTATTTTTTCTCTTATGCAAACTATTTTACTCTCGCAATGTCATTTGTAAGATATAAACAACTTAATGATGAGCTTTCCAAATCATAGTTTTTCTGTGTATATACTAATTTTCTGAATCATTGATGTTTTGATTGATAATCTTAGTGTTCAGTTTATATTTTTACACAGAGGATCAATTTTTCAAAAACTTTAACATCTTTTGCGTAACTGAATTATTTTTATCATTGTTGAGTGTATTTAATTGAGAAGATTTTATACATTTGCTTTGTCCCAGAATTTGAGAAATGTGTTATATTCTCTGTTCTCCTCGTGTATCTGGAGGCTTTGTGAAGTGAGTCGTTGAGATCCATAGAGTTACTGCTTTCGTTGCTGAACCAGTCATAAGTAGTTTTACAAATTTCTGTGTATTTTGGACAAACTACCCATATCACTCAACTTGTATAGCGCACTGGAAATGTCACCTATTGACACAGGAGATGTCACCTATGGACACAGGAAATGTTATTTCTTGAAGAATAAGTTTTGCCCTTTAATTTGAGAGTATATATTATGCAAATATAAATCAGACTGAATCAATGATAATGTCTTATAGAAGGAGGACAAAACATGAGAGATGTATGAAAGTACTGATAAAGGGTAGTACCAGCAAGCAGACTTTTATCTTATTGAAATAGGAAATTTAAAGAATGACTTCAAATTTGAATTGGGACTTCTTATAGACAATGTATGTCTATTAAAAAGCAAAATGAGTTCTGAACAAATTTGTCCATATGTCAATAATAATATTTCTTACGTCACCTAAGTTAATTTTTATTGATAATAGTAAACATATGTCTAGTAGATTTATTTTATTTCATATCAGTAAATTACACAATGTATGGTGAAGGGAAGCGGAGCTTGCACCAGGAAAAGGACAAAGGGGTGTTTATATTGGACTGGGTTCTTGTTAGGTGGATTACAGTAAGGGGACAGTTCGGATATAGTGTATGGTGAAGGGAAGCGGAGCTTGCACCAGGAAAAGGACAAAGGGGTGTTTATATTGGACTGGGTACTTTTTAGGTGGATTACAGTAAGGGGACAGTTCGTATATAGTGTATGGGGAAGGGAAGCGGAGCTTGCACCAGGAAAAGGACAAAGGGGTGTTTATATTGGACTGGGTTCTTGTTAGGTGGATTACAGTAAGGGGACAGTTCGTATATAGTGTATGGTAAAGGGAAGTGAAGCTTGCACCAGGAAAAGGACAGAGGTGTTTATATTGGACTAGGTACTTGTTAGGTGGATTACAGTAAGGGGACAGTTCGGATATAGTGTATGGTGAAGGGAAGCGGAGCTTGCACCAGAAAAAGGACAAAGGGGTGTTTATATTGGACTGGGTACTTGTTAGGGGGATTACAGTAAGGGGACAGTTCGTATATAGTGTATGGGGAAGGGAAGTGGAGCTTGCACCAGGAAAAGGACAAAGGGGTGTTTATATTGGACTGGGTACTTTTTAGGTGGATTACAGTAAGGGGACAGTTCGTATATAGTGTATGGGGAAGGGAAGCGGAGCTTGCACCAGGAAAAGGACAAAGGGGTGTTTATATTAGACTGGGTACTTGTTAGGTGGACTACAGTAAGGGGACAGTTCGTATATAGTGTATGGGGAAGGGAAGTGGAGCTTGCACCAGGAAAAGGACATAGGGGTGTTTATATTGGACTGGGTACTTGGTAGTTGGATTACAGTATATAGGATACAGTATGAATTTGTTATGGTGTGAAGCCCCAGTATACTGTTAAAATTAAGCCAAATACTACCAAAATATGCATTCTTGTGTTATCTGTTCACCAAGTCCATGATATTTAATTACTGTACCAAAAAATATTTCCATAAAGAGAGAACATTCAGAAAAACATTATTCTTAAATTTTTGTTTAAGAATAGTCAATACATCCCTGATTGTATGGGGAAAATAGAGAGAAACAGAAATTGGTCAATATTGGTAGCTTTATATGGCAATTTCAAATATTTCATTTTGAGAAAATTTAATATTTAATTTAACTCATTCACCCCTGAAGACACATGTGAACTCCTCTAATTTAAAGGTTGGAAAAGTTCATCATGAAATTTCAGGGGTGAATGAGGTGAAGAGGTTGTCCTAAACATAGTTGTTATTCAGGCTTCTGATTGTAGTCGGAAAGGAATGTTTTATGAAGTCTTATCAAATTGTTTTATTTATAAGAACAAAATTTTAAGTCTATCCTTCATGTAAATAATGTTGTTTTCTGAAATGGACACATACAATGATACTTTGAAAGTCATTCAGACAAATTCTCTAGGAAGAAACTGATTTATTTGTTGTCTGTTTTTAACAACTTTGTCTGAAATTAGTTATTGCTCTGAAAGTTACGTTTGTTGAAGGATCTTTTATAGTTTAAGGTGGTTAAATATTTTTGTTTCAGAATCGTTTAAGATATTGTCGGCCTTTACCATGTGTAGCCTAGTCATCTGTGTTTATAACATTTAAACAATATCTGTGATAAAGAGGTTTATAGAAGGCCTGTAACTGTAGACGGTCAGTGTATATACACATATAATTTATTAAAATAATCCTGTATTATTAGTTGTACTGACATTTATGGTCAATTTTCATATTTAATTGGCTTACTTTCATGTGGAGAGTTGTTGACCGTATTATAGAACTTGGTCAATATTGAAAATTTAATATATTTGTTTTTCGATTGAATTTTTTTTTCAGTTGGTAAACCTGATTGACATAGTTATATGTAAAATGCACACAAATCAGAAACCCATTACACAATTGTCATAATCATTGTTGTGTACATATCAGGCACGTGTTTATAAAGGGACATTTATTTAGGTAGAATCAATGAAATTTTTGTGATCAGGAAAAAAACATTAATTATAGCAATATTTATATGATATGAACCGGGATAAATTATGTTTTTTTTTACACTTTTAAACTTTGAAACAATACAAAGTTCAAAGGTCAGCAGTCTCTGGTAAAGTTCAAAGGTCAGCAGTCTCTGTTGTAATTTTACTCCCAGTCGAGAGAACAAAGCGTGTTATATGAAGGACTGTACCCCACTTGTTAAAATAATTGATGAATCTATTTTGATATATGTACAGATTGCTGAGAGAAAGGATGACATTAGTGCTATGTAATAAAACATTCATTAATCCTCCATGAATTGGATGTTTGTGTTATCAATTTTAATACTTTTACTTTTATTAACGCATAGCTGTAAACCCTCCTTCATTTTGACCAAAAGTTATCAATCTCTTTCATCGAAACACCCCCATTCAAGT